GACCGTCTTGGGGGCCTCTTTGGGCCGTTTGGGGGCCCTCCTGGGCCGTCTTGGAGCCCTCTTGGGGGCTTTTTGGTTTGTTCTGGGGCGATTCTGGAAGCTGCTTGGGCCGTCATGGTTCTGTGAAAGTCGAAAAAAACGAAAACGCTAAAATATGGCAAAAACCATAGGAAAATCAATTTCGGCATCTGGAGGCGCAGTTGTGGGCGCTCTTGGGGCCCTCTTGGGCCGTCCTTGGAGCTTTTGGGGCCGTCTTGGGGGCCTCATGGGCCACCGTTGGGAATATCTTGGGCCGTCTTGGGGCCGTCTTGGGGTCATCTTGGGCCATCTTGAGGCCCTCTTGGAGCCCCAAGAGGCCCAAGAGGTCGAAATTGTTGATTGTTCATAAGTTTTTGTCGGTTTTTATGGCCCCGGAAGGGGGGGGGGCATCTTGGTCCGTTCATGTGGCGCGACTGCAGGGGGGGTTATGGGGGGAGACATAATAATGTAACACAATACAGCATGTGGGAATTATGCAAACATTGGACACATTTGGATCCACTGCATTACAGCATCCGCGGAAAACGCTGCCGCTCAGCACGTCACTTCTGGACGTGGACTCAAGCGGCGCACGCCATTCCGCCGACCCCAGGAAAAGACAGAGGGTAACGCACGATCGCGGACGCCCTTCGGAGCATTGGGGCCTGCATGCGCTGGGCTATATATATATATATATATATATATATAGATATACCTATACGACCACCATTCGGGTGATAAGGAGGTTCGGGGGGGGGGGAACCAACGTCGCACTCGATCGGTCTCACTATCGATCTCAATATCGGTCTCACTATCGGTCTCGCTCGATCGATCTCACTCGATCGATCTCACAATCGATCTCACTCGATCGATCGATCTCACAATTGATCTCACAATCGATCTCACAATCGATCACGTAATCGATCTCACATTCGGTCTCAATATCAATATCACTATCGATATCACAAACGCTCTCACAATCAACATCCTCATCATCATCATCATCATCATCATCATCATCATCATCATCATCATCATCATCCTCAACATCATCAACATCAACATCATCACCAACATCGTCATCATCATAAGGGCGCCGTCATCATCATCATCATCATCATCATAAACATCATCATTAACGTCAGCATCATCATCGGGACAACATCATCATCATCACCATCATCATCTCATCATCAACATCATCATCATCATCGGGACACAGCCATCGTCATCATCATCAGCAGCATCATCATAATCATCATCATAATCGAAACACCATCATGATCACCATCGTTCTCATCATCAACATTATCATCAACATCGTCATCACCCTCGGGACACCATCATCATCATGATCATCGCATCATCATCATCATCATCGACATCATCATCATCAACAACATCATCATTATTGGGGCACCATCATCATCATGAGCAACATCATCATCAACATCGTCATTATCATTATTAGCATCGGGGCACCATCAGCATCACCATCATCATCATCATCACCATCATCACCATCATCATCATCAGCATCATCATCATCGGGACACCATAATCATCATCAACATCATCATCATCAACATCATCATCGCCGGGACACCATTTCCATCAACATCATCATCACCAACATCATCGGAATCATCATCATAATCATCATCATCATCGGGACACCATCATCGTCATCATCATCAACATAATCATCATGATCATCATCATCCTCATCATCGGGACACTATCATCATCGACACCATCATCATCATCTTCATCGGGACACCATCATTATATCATCATCATCATCATCAGCATCAGCATCAGCATCAGCATCATCATCATCATCATCATCATCATCATCATCATCATCATCATCAACACCGCGGGCCACCGGCCGCCCGGAAGGGAGACATTTGGTCCGGCCGCGCCTCAGCCACACGGGACACCAGCGAGACACCGGCGGGACACCGCGGGCCACCGGCCGCCCGGAAGGGAGACATTTGGTCCGGCCGCGCCTCAGACACAGGAGACTTTCTTCTCGCCCGCCCACGCAGCTTCGCCTCGCCCGCACGGCACGCACGAACACGAAACCGAAATCGATTTCCCGGTAGGGGGGCTCTCCGTTCCACTTCGATCTCACCCCCTCACCTCCGATATATATATATATATATATATATATATATATATGTGTGTGTGTGTTCCTGGGGCCTCGCCCGCTCTATAACGTAATCTATACATTGGGATCGTAGTCTCGGCGGCGCGATTGCACAGTAATTACACAAAGGAGCTTGGCCTCGGGGGCGCGAGGTTACGAACGGTCGTTGCCTCGAGGGCGCGGGTACGGAGTAGCGTGCGATGGATGGATCGTGGCCTCGGGGCTGCGAATACGGAGCAATGTGAACTGGATCGTGGCCTCCGGGGCGCGGGTACGGAGTAATGTGCGATGGATGGTGGCCTCGGGGCTGCGAGTATGGAGTAGTGTGCGATGGATCGTGGCCTCGGAGACGCGAACATCGCATGATTTAAATGGGACCGTGGCCTCGGGGGCGTGGTCCTTGCGCAATTTCGAAGGGTCGTGGCCTCGGGGAAGCGAATATTATATAATTGAGAGAGCGCGCCCACTGTACCCCAAGACGGACCGACATGGTCCCACGAAGCCCCAAAGAACCCTCCGAGAAGCCCCCCAAGACGGACCGACATGACCCCACGAAGGCCCAAAGAGCCTTCCGAAGAGCCCCCCAGAGGCCGAGAGGTCCCCAAGGGACAACGTGCGACAACGCCCATGCGCATCGTGCGGGGCGGTCCATCGAACAATTCCGCTATCTGGTCCTCCGAGCACGTGCGACGCTTGTATAAGCGGTACTCCGACAGGATGCTGCCTTGCTTTTGTTCGGGAATGTTGTCCTCGGGGGCTCTTGTGCGCTCATGTTTGTCATTCGCATCGGGCTGCCAGCGGGAGCGCGTGCACTCCGCGGACAGCGCTGGCACAACACGCCGCCAGGTCGCCGATTCCAGGCGAGCTCAGAGGAGCCGGAGTGACGAAAAGCGAACAGAATAGACTACAATAACGAATATGATATCACAGGGGATGAGTGGCACTACGAAGAAAAAAAACTGAAGAAACAGAAAGGGACGACAACGACGAACAATGATTCATGTAGCGAAAGGGACGTCAACGCCGAACAACCACTGAAAGGGACTGAATCGACGAAAAGGGGCTCGAGAACACTGCAACGACAAAACGGATATAGCACGGTCTGCACAAACATGCAACTACTAAACTGACTGGAACTACGAAAAGGGACCAAAGGAAACGAGATTAACAAACAAAAACTAAAAGGGACACTGATGACCAGAAGTGGGGCCCAGGATGGCCTCGGGGCCAGCCAACGCGGCCCCATGACGGTCCCATGACGGCCCCTCCAGAGCTTATGAGGCCCTCAGGGCGGCCCAAGAAGGCCCCAAGAGCGCCCTCAACGGCGTCTCCAGAAACCAAAATCATTGATCTCCCATGTTTTTTTGACTGAGTTTAGCGTCATCGCCTGCGTCGGTTCAAACAAAAACGTGACGGCCAAAGCAGCAGCCAAAACTGCCCCAAGAAGGCCCAAGAAACCCCCAAAAGGAGCCCAAGACGGCCACGGAGGAACCACCAAGAAGGCCCCAACACTGGCCAGGAGGCCCCCACAGAAGCCCAGGAGGACACTAAAAACGCCTCAAGTCGGCCGCAAGAAGCCCCCAAGACGGCCTCTGGGGGTGTCAGACGGGCTCCAAGCCCGCCAAGAAGGCCACCAGACGCCCGCGCTTTCCGCAATCTGGACGTGCACCCCGCGAAGCGAGAGGAACACATTACATTCGATTCGCGCTCCCAAAACCACGATGCGCCGTAAATTACGCAATGCTCGCATCGATGCCACGAGAATTACGCCGTGCTCGCGCCCCCGAGGCCACGATCCCTAGCAAGTCACGCCATACTCGCGCTCCGCAGCCACCGTCCCTGGTAAAAAACTCACAGGAACCCAAAGACCGTCCAAGCCGAGGCGATTTCGCCCAACGTAGCCTCAAGCAGCCCCCAGTCGTTCCAAGAGAGCCTCCAATACACAGCGAGAGGGGAAACTACAAAAAACTGAGCTCGACAATATCATCTGGATCCCCATTTGTCTTGAAGATTTCTTGAAGTTTACCCATCGCCCTCGCATGATGTTTCGAGTTGGCTTCACGACGGCGCCCAAGCATCCCAACACAACTCCTGCATGCCCCATTCTGGTAGAGGAGGGGGCCGGCGGCAGAGAGACAAACCCTTACGGACAACCGGGACGTGTGATGTCAAACCGTCGTGGAGCGTCGCGTCTTCGGAACACCTCGAGCTGGAGATCGGCAGTCGCGCGGCCGACTCGCGCAGGCGCCTGGTGGCCATCTCGCTCCACGGCTCGCTCTGGCTCAGTGGCGTGGCCCTCGCCCGGCTGCGGGGGCCCTTCGCCACACCCAACAAAACACCCTTCACCAGACATCCGATGCCTCGATTTTTGTCCGCGCGGGGCGCCTGCAGCCCCGACGCTCTCCCCAGGGCCTGCGTCTCGTCCCGAGCCGTTCTTGACGGTCTGGGGCCCGGCGAGGGCCCCTTGAGGCAACAGCCTGGCAACTGTGTTGATTCGCGGGTCGAGAGCGCACCTCTTCTGGTCGAAGCGGGCCGCGCGAAGCTTGAATTAACCAGCGATGGGGGAGGAAAAGGGGGCCGCAGCCTCAGAACGAGGCCGGGAGGAGGCAAAGCCTCGGAATCAGGCGGTGCCGTAGCCGACGTACAACAACCTGGCAACACACTGCCAACAAAAGAAACCGTCGGGATTTTTCACGACGCGAGGGGCACCTGGGTACCCCACCCCCCTGCCCCTGCGCGAGGGCTGAGGTCACGAGGGGAGGACTGCACCGGCGGGCGGGCTGCCCGACAAGGGTCCGCGGCAGGCTGCCCCTCCCAGGGGGGAGGGGGCCTGGTTCACAAAGCAGTTGGCGGGCTTCAGGTCGCGGTGGTAGATGCCCGCCTGGCGGTGAGGTGGGCAGGGGGATTCGGGCGGGAGGAGAGGGCAGGACAGAAAAACCGTCGGACAGAGAATGAGCTCACGTATAGCTGGCTCTCCTGGCGCCTCCTGGCGCCAGGGTGCGCCCATGCATCGTCGAAGAATGGTCTCGGCGGCGGGGCCGAAACCAGCTGCGTGCAGCAGATTTTGTGTCCCCCCGTTTCACTATCCTACCCTTTCGGCCGGTCCTCCACCTCCTCCCCTTCACCCCTCGTTATCCTCCGCGCATCCAGAGGAACCAAAAAAGCAACATTGTCCTGGCGAAGGGCCCAACCATATACAATTGTGAAAATCGCCGTTGTGGGTACGGTATCACCTTCGGTGGATCTCCTTAGGGAGCCTCGAAGCGTGTGAAGGGTGTGCCGGAATGAGGGGGGGACGCATGCGGGCGCAGCCATTGGGGCCTTCGGAGGCGCGTCAGATGGGGCCACGGAACGTGTGAGGGTGTGCCGAAATGGAGCGGGGCCGCCATGCGAACGTCGCCACTGGAGCCTTCGGTGGAGCTCCAGATGGGGCCACGAAACGCGTGAGGGGCGTGCCGAATGGACAGGGGGGACGCATGCGAACGTCGCCACAGGGGCCTTCGGAGGAGCCCCGTCTAGGGCCAAGCGTGAGGGGTGTGCCGAAATGGGCGGGGGGAGACGCATGTGATCACAGCCTCTGGGGCCTTTGGTGGAGCTCCCTATGGGGCCACGAAGCGCCGAACTGGGTGTCGCGGAACGCATGTGATCACAGCAACTGGGGCCTTCGGTGGAGCTCCCAATGGGGTGGAGCTCCCTATGGGGTCACGAAACGCCGTACTGGGTGGCGCGGGGCGCATGTGATCACAGCCACTGCGGCCTTCTGTGGAGCTTCCCATTGGGCCACGCAACGCCGTACTGGGTGGTGCGGGACGCATGTGATCACAGCCACTGCGGCCTTCGGTGGAGCTCCGTACGGGGCCACGAAGCGCCGCACTGGGTGGCGGGGGACGTGTGTGATCACAGCCTCTGGGGCCTTCGGTGGAGCTGCCAAAGGGGCCACGAAGTGCCGTACTGGGTGGCGCGGGACGCATGTGATCATAGCCTCTGGGGCCTTCGGTGGAGCTCCCTATGGGGTCACGAAACGCCGTACTGGGTGGCGCGGGGCGCATGTGATCACAGCCACTGCGGCCTTCGGTGGACTTTCTATGGAGCCACGAAGCGCCATACTGGGTGGCGCGGGACGCATGTGATCACAACCACCGGGGCCTTCTGTGGAGCTCCCTATGGGGTCACGAAGCGCCGTACTGGTTGGCGCGCGGCGCATGTGATCACAACCACTGGCCTTCGGTGGAGCTCCCTATGGGGCCACGAAGCGGTGTGCTGGGTGGCGCGGGACGCATGTGATCACAGCCACTGGGGCCTTCATGTGCTCACAACCAGCAGAAATAGGAACGCGGGACGCTGTCTCTTCAAAACGGCAGCCCAACACCCCAGGATGTATGGGAATAACAATGACTTCAATGACTTCTCAAAGTTCCGTGCGCATGTCTTGGATCAGCGCTGGACCCCCCTCCCTGGCCCACGAGGACAGTCCGCGCGCGACAGCCCAACACCCCAGGATGTATGGGAAGGACAATGACTTCGCAAAGTGCCGTGCGCATGTCTTGGATCAGCGCTGGACCCCCCTAGGAACGCGGGACGCTGTCTCTTGAAAACGGCAGCCCAACACCCCAGGATGTATGGGAATGACAATGACTTCTCAGAGTGCCGTGCGCATGCCTTGGATCAGCGCTGCACCCCCCTCCCTGGCCCACGAGGACAGTCCGCGCGGAGCTCACAGACATTATAGTCGGGCCTAGGCCTAGGCCAGAACACACATCCCTCAAGAGCACGAGACCCTCCGTCGGCCAAAACACACAGAGCATCCAAGGTTACCCTCCCAAGGATGCGCAAGAGCAGGAGGAGGAGGAGGAGGAGGAGGAAGGAGAGGAGAAGAGAGGAGAGGAGAGGAGAGGAGAGGAGAGGAGAGGAGAGGAGAGGAGAGGAGAGCAGAGGAGAGGAGAGGAGATGCGGGGCGCCGCCTCTTCATAACGAGGACCCAGCACGACAGGGTGGTGGGGGGAGCACACGGGGAAAAAAGACATCGAGGCGCCCGCCCCGAACCGCCCTCCAGCTTCTGCTGCCCCGCTCCGACGGCGTGCCCGTGCCGCTGCTGGGCCTGCGCAACTCTGCCCCGCCCGCGCCCGCCCCGCGGGGCGGGGGCCCTCACGACAAGGAGGCGCCCCCCGCCTGCCCGCAGCACCCCCCTTCGCGGCTGCCCTCGCCCTCGCCCTACCCCCCCCCCCCCGGTGTGGCGCACGGCTTGCCGCCGCTCGGACGCCCATTCCTCCGTGCACCTTCCGGCCGCGCGCGCGCCTCCGTCGCGGGATGCTCCGGGAGGCTCCTCGGCGATCCCCGCCGAGAAGACACGCACACGCCCGAGCGATGCCAAGACAGTGTGCAGCCCGGCCCCTGCTTCTTCGCTGCGCGCGCGCGCTGGCGCGGGCGACGGGAGCCTCCCCGCGGGGGGCGCGGCGAGGGCGCGCCCCCGCGAGGCAGCAGCAGCAGCAGCAGCAGCAGCAGCAGCAGCAGCAGCAGCAGCAGCAGCAGCAGTAGCGATAAGCCAGCAGCTCAAAGACGTGAGATCCGAGAGAGCCAAAAGGAGGAGGAGGAGGAGGAGGAGGAGGAGGAGGAGGAGGTGGAGGAGAACGTCAATTGGACCCCCCGGTGCACGACCCTCCTCCTGTGAGGCGACGCGAGAGCCCTTCGGGAACCCTCGCTTCGGCCGGCCCCCTGCAGATGGACAGATGTGGCGCAGGGGCGTGGGCCCAGCGAGCAGGCAGGAGGGAGGACGCCAGTAAGACCCATCTCCGCACCCGCTGCGCCCTGCACTGTCTGGGGAAGGGGCGCCAGGAGGCCGAGGCGCAGTGGATAGGGACAGATATCTCCCCTCCAGGGGCCATGATCTGTTCCACCTCCACTGCGCCCCTGGCTTCTGGGGCAGGAAACGCATCCTGCCCGCAGGGGAGGGGCGGGGGCGCGGCGGGGGCGGCAGGGCTGCCGAGTGGATGTAGTTGAGGCCGACGAGCAGGCTGTAGAGCACGTTGTTCACGTGCACCGGCAGCAGCGTCACGTCCTCGCCGGGGGGCGGCCCCGCGGTGCCCCACCGCGGGGGGAAGTCAAAAAATTGCTTCCGCTCTCTGTGGGCCTCCAGGAGGCAGGCGCCTGCTCGCGTCGTGAAAAGAGCGCGAAGGCGTGGCGGTTCGAACGGCTCGCCCCTCGAGGTTCGAGGATCGAGCTTCGGCTTTTCCACCGTTCTCGGGCCTCCAGGGGGCTCCTCGTCGCCACGGCTGGACCCCCCACGCAATTCTCGCCAGAACGCTCCCCAGGCCAGATCTGGGCATCGAGTTTGACACCCAGACCAAGGCATGCTCTCGTCGTGAAGGAACGACACAAAGTACGACGGTAATTGTTTGGCCGTTTTCGGCCTCGAAGGACACTCGTCGGGCCCCGGAACCGTCAAAAAGCAACTCGGGATGAGAAACCAGCCCTGGGGAAAGGGTCTGGACTTCTGGGAACCTCGTATTCAGAGAATCAAGACATCGGATGTTCCGGTCTACGCATACATCGATCCTGGTCAGGCACATCCTGAGCCGAGCCCACGATCGGTGCATACGCGCTCCTCGCCTTGGCCAGGGAAGCATGTGCACCGATCATGAGCCCAGGACAAACCTGGACAGGGCCGGTGCATGTGCACAGTTCTCCTCGCACGACAGGAGCGGGGAGAGGAGAAGACAAGGAGAATGGCGGGCAAACGAGACGCCCCGCCACGCTCCTGGTCCTCCCCGCCCCCAGCCCGCCGCCTCCCGTCCCCCTCTTCCCCCTCGGGCTGGAGCAGAATGCGACAGCAGGAGCTTCAGCAGAAAGAGGGAGGGAGAGAGACAGAGAGGGAGAGTGAAAGAGAGAGAGAGAGAGAGAGAAAATGATCTGTACATCTATATATATATAGAGAGAGAGAGAGAGAGAGAAAGAAAGAAAGAGAGAAAGAGAGAGAACAAACAACGAAAGAGAGAAATGAGAGAGAGACAGATCGAGTGAGATCGCCCAAGACAAAATGAAAACGGCGCGTTACCCACTTCACTTCTTCCCTCTTCTGGTCCCCCCACAGCATGACGTTCCTACCCGTTTTCCCCCATCCTCTCACCATGCTCCCCCTCCGCGCCCTCATCTAGGGGAACAAAAAGTGGCATAAAAATAACAACTCGGAGGTCCGCGCGGATTTCTCGGATCGGCGCCGGGGCCCCCTGGCGGCGCCTCCGGCGCCGCCCCTGGCGCGCTCCGCGCGCCAGTGCCGATCCGAGAAACCCGCGCGGAACTCAGAATTTTTACGCTCATGTGACTCTTTGTTCCCCCACCCCATCCACCCGCTGCTGTCGGGTCGGGCGAAAGGAGGGAATAGCGAAGGGGGGGGTGAGAATCAGCTCACGTAGCTGATCTTCCTGGCGCCGGAGGCGGCTATGCATCGAGGAATGGGCCCCTCGGTGGGGCCGATACCAGCTGCATGCAGCAGATTTCGTAACCCCCCCTTTCCCAATCCCCCCCTTTCGCCCAGCCCGATGCTGCTGGACTCCGGGCACCCGTGAACTCCCTCGCCGACCAGCCAGAACTGGGGGAGCTGTGGTCATAACCCCCCTGGGGGAACCCATCGCCTCGACGATCTCTCGAGAGGGGTGTCGAAATCGATGGGCCCCCCAGGAGGAGGAGGAGGCGGAGGAGGAGGAGGAGGAGGAGGAGGAGGAGGAGGAGGAGGAGGAGGAGGAGGAGGAGGAGGAGGGAGGAGGAGGAGGAGGAGGTTGTGGCTGGCCTGCCTCGTCTGCCTGCTGCTCGTGCCCGGGCAGGCCGGCAGAGCAGCCCGAGGCCACGCGCGGAGCGCGCGGCGCCCCCGCCCGCACGGAGGAGCCCGCGGAGTGCTCGGCCGGAGGGGGGTCGAAGGCGGCGGCGAGAGCAGCGGGGGGGAGGGAGGAGGAAGGAGGGGGGGGGGAGGAGGAGGAGGAGGAGGAGGAGGAGGAGGAGGAGGAGGAGGAGGAGGAGGAGGAGGAGGAGGAGGAGGAGGAGGAGGAGGAGGAGGAGGAGGAGAGAGGTGGTAAAGATGGGGGGGGAAAGGCCAGGCCCTACAAACGCGACACGACCCGCCGTACCTGATGTTGTTGCGGATCCCGCAGCCGGACACCTCGATTCCTAAATTCCCTATGGTCATGATGGTGCCCTGCATGGCGGTCGAGTTGGGCCCCATGAGCTGCACGAACACCCTCGGGATGCTGAGCTTACCCGCGGTGCAGAGCGCGGCCTCGATCGCGAAATTGGTGTTCGGGAGCGTCGCGCCGTACAGCTTCTCCATGGTTTGCCAGATGACTCTTTCTCCTCTCAGGGCAAGACGCACGTGAATGTTGTTGAAAGTCTTGTAAATGATCACGTGCACGTCCGCGCCCTGCCCCACCGGGGTGAGCCGCCGGACGGTGGCATCGCGGGCTCTCTTCGACTTCTTCATGGCGGCCCACAGGCCGACCCGGGATGGCCTGAACCGCTACAGCAGCAGCCCGAGCCCTAGCCCTGCGCCCAGCACGCCGAAGGGAAGGGGCCCAAACAGAAGCACCACCACCACCACCTCCCTCACCCCCTCCCTCGCCCAGGAATAGGAGGGCAGAGGAGGGAGGAGGAGTCGACGTGGTGGTGGTGTCTGTTCTCGGGGCCCGCCGAGGGCGGACCCGCCCCGCGCGGCCCCGCAAGGCGCGGTCCTCGACCTGGCGGGAGCTCGACCTGGGGGGCCTGCTCCACCATCCCCTCCCGCGCCTGCCGCCGGGTGGTGCCGGCGGGGCCGCCGCGGGGCGGGGCGGCGAAGGCCGCCGCGGGGGCTGCCAGGCAGAAGCCGAGCGCGAGGGCGAGGGCGAGGCAGCGGCTGCGGCGCACCCTGGCGGCGCCCGACGGCGGCGCGCCCGAGGAGAGGGCGGGGGCCCTTTGGGCCAAAACGGCGGCGGATCCATGCGCGTCGTCGTCCTGGCTTCTCCTCCCCTCGCCCGCGTCTCGTTCCCCCCCCCTCGCCAGCTCGTCCCCATACCACGTGCGGTCCTCGCTCCCTCCCCATCATCCAATTCCACCCATCCACGACCCTCTCCTGATTCACTGTCCTCCTACACCCCATGGCCCTCCCTCCGTCCGCCTCCTTCTCTCCTCCGCTCACTCATCCCACGTCCGCCTCCTTCTCTCCTCGACGGCCCCACTTGACTTTCTCATTATCTTGTTGGCCATCACCATGCCCACTCTTCGGTTGCGTATGCACTTCCAAGAACTCGTGCTACTGCCTCCGATGAAGAATGCGACCGTGTCTTGAATCCAGGCGGCACGACATTACAACCTTGCCGCCCTCTCGGACGAATTCCTGGGCGCTACGCGAAAGGCATTGCCAAATAAAACGGGGCTAGAGAAATGCCTGACGCCCGCCCCCCGCCCGAACATTCCTCCACCTTCCCCGCCCTCGGGAGCCGCAACCGATAACAAGTGGGTATGGCACTGAGGTGCCAAAAACGACCTCAAGTGAGAGCCCACTCCACCATCCTGCCTGCTCGAGTCGGCGCCGAAAGCCGAAGTCGCCGCTCAAGGCCATGGGACATCCGGTGAGGCTCTCACTTCGTGGGCCAGCTCCGAACATCGGTCCTGGGAAAGCATCCTTCACAGCACTCTGACCAAGCGATGGGAATGACTTCAGCAAATGTGTCTTATTCATCGATCCGGCTCCGGAGCCTAGCGCTAAGAAGTCGGAACAGTGCTCCAACAAATTGCAGAACACGCGCTGGTCCGCAAGAGCGATGAGAGGTTTCTTGAAATTCCTCAGGCCATGCTCTAATCTGGCTTCCTATTCCATCGGAAAATATGATTATGCCAAGCGCGCTTCACATCGGCGCTGCAACGACTTCCCTGACAGTCAGCAGCATGACTGACAGCATGTTTGCCACTGTCAATCAAGACATGGTCAGCCTTCCGGCTGACCCTGATGCAGAGGCGTAGCTTGCGTACCGCTCACGCCAAAGCATGAGCGGCAACGCAGGCAAGACAGCGCACATGCCATCGGAACCTGGTTCAAACTTCCTATCACGTTCGCCGTTCCCGTCGTCGCTGGTGTGGTCGTCGCTGCCGCCGCCGCTGTCGTCGTCGTCGTCATCCTCATTCTCCTCTATATTGTCCCTCTTTCAGATCCTCCCTCTCCCACTGCCCAACCCATCTCCCCATGCTTCTCCTTCTCTACCTCTGCCTTTGAGCTGTGGGTCAGCATTGGCATCGCCGAGATTTATGGCAACAGACCTGCTCCGCCTCATGGAATCCGAGTCCAGCACCGCTCGAACGCCTGCAGCGACACGAGCTGCACAGGTGACTCCAGTTCCCGCAGCGCTGGCCCTCGGCGTCATTCCCCCGTCCACACAACCACCCCACATCATGCCGCAGGTACGGATACGGATGTTTCAGGAGCGCCCCCCCCTGCATCTCCTCCATCGAATCCTGGTCGCACTCCCTAGGTCCAGTCTGGCCCTTGAGGCGTACTTTGGGGCAGCCATGGTGGTCAGACTCTCGGCTCCAAAAGCCGTACAGCTGCCGACTCCGACTGTCGGCCCCGCTCCTGCTTGATCAGCTTCTTCAGGTCCGAATCGCAGATCTCCATGATCATGTACACGTCCTCTCGAGGGGCCGGAGCGTAGCGAAGCCGAAGAGGAGCCAGAGCTGGGCAGAGGTGCGGGCGGCTCAATCCAGAAGGGGAACGCACGCGTAGTGGCAGTATCACGCTGGTCTTTCAGCTTGTGCGGGATGCATACAAGTACACGCATGCATACATTCCTTCATACACACCTGCATACATCCATGCGTGCATGAGTACATACATAGATGCATGTATGTATACATGCGAGCATGCATGCATGCATGCATGCATGCATGCATGCATGCATGCATGCATGCATACACACATACACACATACACACAAACACACATGCACACATACACACGTTACGTGCACACGTACATGCATACGTCAATGCATGCATACACGCATACATGCATACACTAATAACTACATGCATACCTATATGCATGCATGCATGCATGCAGCCATACATACAGGTATGCATACATACGTACATGTTCCCATACAAAAGCGTAAACGTACATACACACTGCAGTACACATGCATACGTACAGGCATACATACATACACACAAGCATACCTACACACATACAAACATGCACATATACTCGCATACATACATGCATACATACATGCATGCATGCATGACCGTATGAAACATCTACCTACGTACGTGCATGCATGAAGATACGCACATGTCCAAACACGCGTACACACACGTATAAGATACATTACATAAACATGTATGCGTGCATACATGCATACACACACATACGACCAATCATACAAACACACTTACATACACACACACACACGTGCATGCATGCATACACATGTGCATGCATGCACGAATGTAAACCTGCATGTGCACAGATATACAAACATATACAGATGTATAGCGAGCAGCCTCGATGACATGAACAGCGGTACAAGATCCAGGCCAGGGTGGCGCACAAACAACCACCTACGCAGCCTGGGCTGGGTCGGCAGCAGCAGCAGCGGCGGTGACAATGAAGGAGGGTGGTCGAAGGAAAGAGGAATGGGAAGGGAGATGTCAGGAGGCCATGGCCACAACACACCTGGGTTGGCCCCCCTGAGCCCTTCGCCCCTCTGGAGCGCGTCGCGGGACTCCTGCCAGGACTGCCAAAGGAGGTGGAGAGACGAGCTCGGCGCAATATGTGCGTAACGGCGAATCCGGACGCACGTGACCTTCCTGGGTCTCATGTTCAGTCTGTGTGCTCAGCTCCGTGTCTCTGCCTCGTTCTCTGTCTCTGTCTCTGTCTCTATGGCTCTGTCTCTGCCTGTCTGTCTCTCTGTCTCTCTCTCATTCTCTCTACGTGTGAATATATGTATGTTCCTATGCCTCTTTCTCTCTCTCTCTCTCTCTCTCCTTCCCTTCCTTACCCTCCATCTGTCTCGGGCTTCCTGTTTCTTTACGTATGTAAGTATATGTGTCCCTCTCCCTCTGCCTACATACAGATCTGTGTAAAGACATACATCGCCGAGGTATGCGTATGCACGCGCGCACGCACACAACATCGGTGTATGGATACGCGATCCCACTTAAACCGGTACGCACAAACATACATACATACATACATACATACATACATACAGACAGACAGACAGACAGACAGACAGACAGACAGACAGACATACAGACATACATACATGCACTTATATGCATGCATACATACATACATGCATACATACATACATACATACATACATTCATACATACATACGCACATACACACATACATGCATGCATGCATGCATGCATGCATACATACATACATACAGGCATACAGACATACAGACATACAGACATACAGACATACAGACATACATACATACATACATACATGCATGCATGCATGCATACATACATACGTACATACATCTACACACAGGCATAGATATACCTATGGGCGTGCAAACACATATATATAATATATATATATATATATATAGATATATGTATATATATATATATTATATAGTATACATACGTATAGTATGCAAGTGTGTGAATGTGCTTAAATCGCATGTGCATATGCGTACACGTGCACACATTGCCCCTAATACATGGCATCGGGCAGCCAACCCGGATGACCCACACCTAGCCCCACACGCTCAAGATTGCTCCACAAGAATTCGGAACGATTCCACAGATTGAGCGAAAATCATCTCGTCGGTCTTATAGGGCCTACCATGGCTCCGAGACGGCCAGAGAGCACTCCGAGACGGCCCGAAAGGGCATCGAGACGGCCCAAGATGACATCAGGATGGCCCAAGACGCCCCCGAGAGACCCCATGAGGTGCTTCATGGCCCGCTCATGGCACCCTGGTGGCCCAGTGGTGGCCCGCACACCCCCTCGTGGCCGTCTCGCGGCTCCCACGGAGCCGCCTCGTGCCAATTCCGCGGCCCCCCCACTGCCCCCCTGGTTGCCCCCGATGGCTCCCTTGTGGCCACTATGTGCCACCTCCGTGGCTCTCCCATGGCCGGCTCACGCTCCGCTCGTGGCCCCCGCGCGGCATCCCTGGTGGCCCCGCTGTCACCCTCCCCCCAGCGGCCGATTCGCAGCACCTCGTGGCCCACGCATGGCCCACTTTGTGCCCTTCAATGTGGCCCCCATCGAGCCCCATCGTGTCCCCCTCGTGCCGCCCCTGGGGGCCCTCACTAAGGCAGAGGATGGGCACGAGCCTCCTCAGTCGCCTCCTACCCCCATCAGCACTTACCCCATTATTGAGCAGCTCCGCGTGGACGAGCGTCAAAAAGAGCGACTTTTGCTAATTTGGAGTTTAGCCGAATATTGCCCTGCACGGAAAGAAAACTGAGAGCTGCCTGCGTGGTCGGTTCATAAGACATGTTTACGGGGATGCGCACCAAGTTCTCGCGACCCCAGCGTTGTTTTTCGACTCCGCGTGGAATTTTCAACCTCGAACGATCGGCTGCTTCGCGATCGCCAGATCGCTTCCTATTGGCAGGTTCGGGTTCCTCCGTACGCTGGGCCACGGAGGCAGACCTCTGAGGTCCGCCCCGCTCGCGAGGGCCACGGGGGCCACGAGGGCCACGAGGCCACGAGGCACCGAATCGCCTCTTGGAAAGCACCCCGCTTGGGCCACTGGCCGACTCGCCCCCTCCATCGTCAGTCAAATCGATCCTGGGCCGCCTCCCTTCGCGCGAGAGCCACGCGAGGCCGGCGCGAGCCGCGGGGCCGAGGCCTGCATCCCGCGCCTCGCGCGAGGGCAGCGGTGGGCCACGGGCCCAGGGAACACGACATCCCGTCGGCGCTTGGGCCTCCCCCGGTCGCGCGAGGTCCACGCAGGGCCCACGGGCCACGAGCCACACTCGGGCGCACCCCTCCCGCGGGCGCGGCAGGAGGGGGGCCCGCGCGTGGCACCCAGTGCGCCTCGAGACGTGCTGCAGTGCTGGCACGCCGTGCCGTCCAGCGTACTGTGCCGTGCGTCGCTGGCCCACTGGCTCCCGTGCTGACGCCAAGAGTGCTGCTGTGCTGCTGGCCACTCCACCCGACTCGGTATGCGTGCAGGCCACACCGGCACGAGACGAAAGTTCACAATGCAGGCCAGAAGTAGGCAACTCCTCAGTGAACAAACCAAAGCCCATCAGCACCACGGGCCCGCACGAGCTGGCCAACAACGCTCCACTGGACACCCCCGCAAGCACTGCATCTTGACTACTCCCAACGCTCATCGTAGTGTGTATTGCTGTGATGGGCAATCAGCCTAACTGAAACTTGCCGTAAACCTGCTGGGCATCATGGAGCTCTCTCCTGATAATGAATTCCACGCCTCCAGCACATCCTACCACAGTCTGCGCTATTGGCTCTCATCCACCTGAAGTAAATAGGGCCTCTGGCGCGACCGAACGCTTCAGGGTGATGCCTGCCGCTGGTAAACTGTCGCACACAACTATTTGCATGAGCGGTGTGAGACACCAAGACGATAACGCAGACCAGTATAGTGCCCGTGCCGCCCAGCCCCAAAAGCAACGGGGGAGCAGGATAAGAGACGGGGAAGGGGAGGATGCCCTTGGGAGAAGCATGTCTTCCAGCGTTTTGCATGCACTGCGCACACAAAGAGAGCTCCTTGAACGTGCGCGGGCTATCGGGGAGCACGAAGTCCATGATGCGGACACCTCCGACCCCCGGGGAGTTCGCAGAGGGCAGACATGCAATTGTCGCTGTTTGGGGAGATTCCTCCTCAGCGGTCGATCGACTGTACGATCGCAGTGTCGAGTCACGTGACCAAACGGAATGGCTAAGAATTCAGTCGCACGCCGATCGCACACACCATCTGAACCGATCACGGAATCAGACCGAGCCAATCGCGTCATCGGCGACCACGTGCTCGATCGGGGGGGGGCACGGCGGAAACCAAGTAATTCGCCGGCCCACCGGGCCAGAGGCGTGCTAAGATCTCTGGTAACTTTAACAATATATATATATATATGTATATATATATATATATATATATATTCTAGTTCGCGCGCGGGGCGGTTTCTGGGGGCTCCCAGACGAAAAAGTACACCGACCAGGTCCCGACCAGTTCGGCTCAGAGGTGGTTTTCCTCCTCGGCGCTGCCTTCCAGGCCGCCCAGAGCGCTCCAGGAACGCGCCAAGAAGGCTCCGAGACGCCCCCGAGACGGTCCAAGGGGCCCCGAGTCGCCGAAAGATTGCTCCAAGACGCCCATGCTGGTCTCCAGACGGCTCTAGACGCCGACAGGGAGCTCCAAGAGAGCCTCACAAGGCCCTCCAAGATGGCCCCAACAAGCAACAATCGTCAAATCCGCCGGCCCCCTTGTGGGGGCCACCAGGCTGTAGGCCGAAGATTCGCAGTTTCCTGTGCCAGTTGCAGCTTCCAGTTTCCACTGTCACAGTTCTGCTTCTTGCTGCTTACTGTTCCTTGTTGATGGACCGCGCGAGGGGAGGGGAGGCCCAAACGGGCAGGTTTAACACGCCCTGTGCGTATGCTCTGAATTGCTGGGGTGGGTAAACATTGACACCCCTCACGCAGATCGGCGGGGTCAGTGTCCAAAAACACAAGGGATTTGCAACTTTTCTGAAATTCGGTGGAACCGCTCACGCAGATCGGCGGGGTCAGGGTCCAAAAACACAAATATTTCCCACATTTCTAAAATTCGGTGGCACCTCTCACGCAGATCGGCGGGGTCAGGGTTCAAAATCACATGGGATTTGCCACATTTCTGAAATTCGGCGCCACCCCTCACGTAGATCGGCGGGGTCAGGGTCCAACAACACAAACGCTTTGCCACATTTCTGAAATTCGGTGGCACCCCTCACGCAGATCGGCGGGGTCAGTGTCCAAAAACCACCGGGATGTGCAACACTTCTGAAATTCGGTGGCACCCCTCACGCAGATCGGCGGGTCAGGGTGGGTCCAAAAACACATGGGATTTGCCACATTTCTACAATTCGGTGGCACCCCTCACGCAGATCGGCGGGGTCAGTGTCCAAAAACCAACGGGATGTGCAGGATTTCTGAAATTCGGCGGCACCTCTCACGCAGATCGGCGGGGTCAGGCTCCAAAAACATATGGGATTTGCCACATTCCTGAAATTCGGCGGCACCCCTCACGCAGATCGGCAGGGCACGGTCCAAAAACACATGGGATTTGCGACATTTCTGAAATTCGGCGGCACCATGGTCACAGTCAAAACGAACAGAAGATTTGCCACACTTCTGAGATTTGGTGGCACCCCTGATGCAGATCCTTAGGATCAGGGTCGAAAAACAAACAGGTCCCGACACTGCTTCACGGCGGCGCCCAGACCTCTTATTTCAGCTTTTGCATGTCCCATCATCTGAGACAGGGGGCCGGCGGCATGGGGCGAAGCCCTTACGGATTTCCTTAGGTAAACGTACATTTCTGGCATCGACGACGCTCGGAGATTCACAACGTCCAAGACTGCCCAAGAGCCCCCCAAGATCGCCCCAAGATGGCCCAACATGCCCCTCAGATGCGCCCAAGAGGGCCCAGAAGGGCTCCAAGACGACCCTGGAGGGATGCCTTCCAGGCCTCCCAGAGCGCGCCAGGAGCGCGCCTAGATGGCTCCGAGACGCCCCCGAGACGGTCCAAGGGGCCACAAGTCGCCGAACGATTACTTCAAGACGCCCATGCTGGTCAACAGACGGCCCTAGACGCCGCCGAGACGCTCCAAGAGAGCCTCATGCGCCCTCCAAGAAGGCCCCATCAAGCAAACATCGTCACACTTCCTTTGGGGAACGTGCATTTCTAGCATGGGCGACGTTCGGAGGTTCACAGCACAGCGTCCACGAGCTCCTGCTCCCCATCGACAAGCCCCAGAGTGAGCATCCACGACCAGCAAGCCCCCACGAGGGCACCCGAAGTTCAACAGAGCACCACACAACTAGCCGCCCCGTGAAAAGCGAGCGATTCCCCTGACAACTCCCAAGCAATCCAGACGAATCGCCCCAGCATCATGCCCAACGCAACGCCTCAGAAAACAGCCGACGCCCCGGCAGCTCAACACCGCCAACGACCACTCGGCCAATCGACGCAGCAGTGCCCAAAAATGGGCCGGCGGAATGAGCGAAGCGATTGAATTACATGTGCCCACTCTGACAACAACAAGGATGCATGCTAGCACATGTGAAAGCAGAAGCGGTAGTGCGGCCTCTGACGACGGCCATGTGTATGACCGGCGCCGACATCGACCACGACAGCAATTCGCTCAGACTGTTGTGCAGAATGGCCAGCCATGCTGGCAGCCCATCGGCACGCTCACGTCCGTCCGCGGCCAACGTAAAACTCATTTTAACAGAACGTGAGGTCTGCACGGCCCAGCCGAATTTCTGGCCGCGGTGTCTAATTGTGGCCGCCCCTGCCCTCCACACATCGAGGCACGCCTCCCGCCCAGCGACGGGGCCTCTACGAGGGCCGAGAGGTCCATCACACGACGCCTTCCTGCCCTCTGACCCTCCACGAGGGTGCTGCTGGGAAGAGCGGTCGACTGCTCAGGCTCCCCCGCTCTCCTCTGCGAGGCTCACGGCTCCGACTTTGCGAGCGCGAGCCTGCGGGAGAATTCGGGGCTCCTTCGAATTCGATATCGGCGCCCCGGGCACCGCGCCACCGGGGCAAGCGCAGGCCCGCTCCACGGCGGGGGGGGCGAAGAGGCCTCAAGGGATCAGCTGAAAGTGGCATTTAAGCCAGTGCTGGCAATTCTCAATTCGGCAGATTGTCGCCGCGCCGTTTGCTCTCAGCGCCCCCGCACGGCGAATCCAGGGCAAACCCTGCATCCTGCGCCCCAGGTGGACGAAGCTGGCACCGCGGCAAACCCCGTGGTAAACCCTGCGCCCGGGGCGGCGCTTGCTCTGATGCCCGAGGCGCCCCCCCCCCGAGACGTGAGGCCGCGCGTCGGAGCAGACGACGCGTCGACAAATCAAGCATGCAGGGCACGTCAGCCGTCAGCGAACCTTTGCTGCTACCCAGGCGAGTCGGCAAGCCACGAGCGCCACGAGCGCCAGCACGGCGGCGAGAGCCGCGGCCGGCCCTCCAGGATCCCTGCCCCTGCCGCCCTGCCCGTGCCCTGCAGAACTCTTGCCGTCGCGCCCGTGGGAGCAAAGGCGGTGGACAAGACGCGCCACCGTGGGAACTCATCGGCGTGTTTCCATTGAGGACCCGCTCGGGGAGCGATCCGTCCCCCCTGAGCCGCTCGCTCCGTCCGCCCCTCTTTTGGCCGCGCCCTCCCCCCGCTCCTCCTCTTGCATGGTGGCACACTTCGCTCTAACGGCATCCCCGTTCAGGTATCCCATCGCCAGCGCAGGCGTCCCCTGCCTCGCCGCCGACGCACAAGTGCTTCTGCTGAGGAAGCACCAGGCACTATTCAGGCTCAGAGGAAAGCGAGGGAGCAGCGCGCTGGCGGGTGATGGCAGCGTGTCGCTGACGCGTACTCCAGATCTCGTAATAAAAGGGAGGGGGTCTGGACCCTCCAAGACAAGCCGTTTCAGACCCCCCCCCGTGGGAGAACCCTCCAAAACATCGTCCCCAGACCCCCCCAGGCCCTCCAAGATAGCCTGGAGGAGACCCCCCCGAAATGAGACCCCCTCCCTTTTGTTACGAAATCTGGAGTACTCTGTCCTCCTTCGCGACGCACGTGCCTGCTCCCCCCCTGTGGTGGCCGGCGGCCGGCTGCACGCCGGGGGCTCCGCAGGGTGGCAGCGGGCCGCCGGGGCCGCTGCCCGATCCGACACCCCCCTCCCCCCGCGCGTTCGCAGAGGGCGGGGGCAGACGACACGCGCGCGTCGGGCCCGGGCACGCTCGCGCCGCGAACAGGATCACGGCGGGGTGTTCCTGGTCGCTCTTCGGCCTCTGGGGGCCCTCGCCGTGCCCTGGGAACGTCGGAGAACAACTCGGGAAAAGGGTCGGGACTTCCAGGGGCCCCCGTATTTGAAAATATGAGAACGTCGGATGTCTGCGGATGCGGTAGGAGCCCCTTGGATGAAACGCAGGTCCTCGAAGCCGATGGGAGATCAGTGGCGACGCAGTCGTGGGCACCACTGCCGCTCTCAGGGGGCGAGGCGTGCCCCAGAGAGAGAGAGGCCCTCTTTCGGGTTCTCCCGATGCGGCGCGGCTCGTGCGCATGCCGAAAAGCCCCTGCTCGCACAGCGGGCGAAAATCCCTCCACGAGATGCAAGAGGAGGCGCGCGACATACCTGAGCTGGAACACGCTTCTGGGAGACCCCCACTTCAGCTGGCGCGGGTGTCTGGGAACATGGCGGGGAGACTCTGGACGTCGCCAGTGTTAAGGGCCACGTCACTGAGCCGTGAATAACCGACCACGGGCGATAATAATCACCGGGAACTAATAACGTTCGGGGGGTTGGCGGGGGTAATAAAGGATTTTCCCGGGGAGCGTAAGTTATGATGATGACCATGATGATGGTGATCCTGGGCGTTCGGCACAAGACTGACTCGAGAGATTTAGATGCTCGTGGCTATACATATCGCCAGCAGGCGCTCGGCACAAGACTGACTCGAGAGACCTCCAGGCTCGTTCGTATACAACTTGCCAGCAGGCGCTCGGCACACTACTGACTCGAGAGACCTCGAGGCTCGTGGCTATACAACTTGCCAGCAGGCGCTCGGCACAAGACTGACTCGAGAGACCTCGAGGCTCGTGCCTACAACTTGCTAGCGCAAGAGAGATCATTGGCCGTTCTGGCCAAGAAGCATCTCTTGCGGTGGACTTCGAACCATTCCCCCCTGTTGCTAGTCAGCATGAGATAATAGCAACTTCGATTCGCAACTTCCCCCTTGGATTATAAAGTTCGGCCTTCGCGCCCTTCTCCACAAGTAAATCCTGTTGGACAGGGACTATACAAATAGAATGGGTGAATGGGGGGTAAGCTTTATTATCGCCCGTGGTCGGTTACAGGGGTGCTCAGGCTCGCGACAGGAAACGTTGAATTTGGAATTTCGCTCTTCTGGACTGCCTGACACCCCTAGAGAAACTGTTAATCAAATCGTTTGCGCCGACCTGGCACACGCTCTGAACCCAAATACGCTCTGAACCCAAATCCGCTGGCCCTGAGGTGTCATGTGCCTGGCGCTAGTTCTGGTATCCATTTATGATCATTCGCTGTCCTTGGGCACGTGGCTGAAGTGAGGTTCCGCTGTGCGGATTGCTGTTGTTGAGTTCGAACTCGTGGCGAATACGCAACACCCCGCAATTGCGGAGAAGAGTGAGGAGGCGGGCGCGGGCGACGCGGGCGTCGAGGCCTCCAAGACGCCCAAGATGCCCTCTAAGACGGCCCTGGAACACCCCAAGAGGGCCCCCAGTCAGCCCAGAGAGGCCCCCACGACAGCTCACGGCGTCAGACGGGCCAATATGCGTCCAAGACGGCCCAAGATGGCTCTAATATGGCCCAGGACGACCCAAGAGGCCCTCAAGAGGCCTCCAGGACTGCCCAAGAGGCCTCCAAGAGGACCTCCGGGAGGGCCCGAAGTGGCCAAAATCCGTGATGTGCCTTTGGTTTTGAAAGATTTTGACACTTGCTTCGTTTCGGCCTTTCCACTGCCCGAGACGGCCAAAGAGCTTCGAAAGATCGGCCAAGAGGCCTCCAGGATTGCCCTAGAACTGCCCAAGAGGCCCCAAGGCGGCCCCGAGACCGCCCCCAGACGGCCCACGAGGCCTCCAAGACGCCCAAGATGGCCTCCAAGACGGCTCTGGAGCACGCCAAGAGGGCCCCAAGTCGGCCCAGAGAGGCCCCCAAGACGGCTTCCGACTGCGTCAGACTGGCCAGGAATGCCATGCGACGACCAAAGGGGCCCCCGAGAAGCACCCACAGGCCCCCAAGAGGCCTAAGGAGGCCCCAAAGATGCCTCCAAGAGGCTCCCAGGAAGCTTCCAGGAGGCCCCAGGAGTGCCCCAAGAGGCTCCCAAGATGCCCCCTCCTCCTCCCCCTCCTCCTCCTCCTCCTCATCCTCCTCCTCCCTTCCTCCTCCTCCTCCTCCTCCTCCTCCTCCTCCTCCTCCTCCTCCTCCTCCTCCTCCTCCTCCTCCTCCTCTCATGTTCCCTGCCATCCTCCCCAAAGTGTTCCCCGAAGGGCTTCCACAACGATTGGGGAAATCCGTGGTCCGATAACTTTGCAGAGCTCTTGCCGCAACGCTCAGCCACATGGGCGACTTCAAAAGGCAGGGGGCGGCGGTGATTCGCCGTAGGCGTCGTCGATATATAGTGACGGTGGGACCCATGGGCAGTGACACCAGTGGATATCTTGGTAGTATGATCTGTGTATAGACAGAGAGATTGGAAGATCGATTGATCGATATCGAGATCCTGAGATCAAAACATCACGAATCCGACCCGACGCTCATCACAAACCGAACGCTACACCCATCCCCCCCTAAACATCCTTATCCTCCGCAGGGTGGTCCTATATGTACGCCCTTGAATATATAGCATGCATGTCTGCTTCTGGTGCGTGCGATTGTTACCCGTGCTCGGTGTGCAAGATGGATGTAGATGTTTGGTATGCGCTCTTGGTGTCTATAACTGATGATGTGGTCGGTGTAACCTGTTGGTGCGTGCCACTGGTGCATGTTAGAAATGTCTGTGCTCAATACCTGTTCTAAACGCGTGGTACTTCTATAGGTGGTTGATGCCTGCTCTTGATATCTGTTCTCAAGGTCTGCTCTAGATTTTTATGGTCAGCGAGACGTCGTGACGCCTTTACGGCGTGACGCCTCCCTGGTGGGCCTCGGCGGCGCGGGATCCTCTGGGATACCCCAGGAGTCTTTGGGTCCAACGGCCGCTATGCAGGGCTGGCACAGCCAGAACCCCAGGGACCACCAGGGACAATTGGGAACTGGCGGCCACGGTACGCTGGGGTGGCGGGAACCACCCAGGATGCCAAGGGAACCCTCCCAAGACACGTGGGATCTGCGTATGATCGGCGGGCGAGGCGGGTCGGGAGGCGCATCTCCTCAAATCCATCAGCCCCAACCGGCCGGGTGGGAAAAGATGTCCTGCCGACTAGTGGGAACAGATCCTCATACCATGTCCCCCATCCGCCCCTGCCTTAGAAAACTCTGCACATCTGGTGATGAAGCGTCTCAGCCGAACTGGCATCTCGACGAACTGCCTCACTCGCTCTGTACCTCATCCTTGTGCTTCGGGCTGCCGTGCCGGTGGTGAGTCTTGCCCGCAGCCTTCTCCGCAGCCTTCTCCGCAGCTTTCTTCGCCTTGCGGAAAGGAGGCGAGCGGGCGAAGGGGAAGGGAGGAAGGGGCAGTGTTGGCGATGTCGATGCCGATGCCGATCGGCGAGATCCCATCCTGCTGATGCTCAGGGCGCGCGCTCGATCGTCTGTGGACGCCGGCAAGTTTGATGTCCGACGGATGGGAACTCGGAGATACCAGAAAAACATGTGACCTCGCCCCTGCTCGGGCGGAACTCGCTCGACGATAAGATCTCGGATCCCTGGCAGCCCCTGGCCCTTCATCCTCCCTCGTGCTAGATGTTCCTCCTTCGCTTTTCTTCTCCTCCTCCTTTCCTCCTCCTCCTCCGCCTCCTCCTCCTCCTCCTCCTCCTCCTCCTCCTCCTCCTCCTCCTCCTCCTCCTCCTCCTCCCCCTCCTCCTCCGGCACGGAGAAGCCCAGCGCCGCTCTGGCCTGGGACTCGGTGTACAGCGGGTGGTGAGGGAAGGCGGGCTCCATGACCAGGGTCCTGCGAGCGCGCGTGCGCAGCCGGCCCGCGCCGGCGGGGAGGCGGAGGCGAGGAGGGGATCTGCAGGCGGCGGGGGAGGTCGGGGCCCTGCCCACACTGAGGAGAGCGAGGGGCAGGGGCCGGGGAGGAAGGCGAGAGGCGGGGGGCGTCCTGCGCAGTTGGCCTCCGTGGGACAGGCCCTCGATGGTGATCTTGTCCTCAGGGCAGCCACGGCGTCCCGCACCCGCAGCAGGAGGCAGAAGGACGCACACGTGCATGAGTGCACGGTGGTCTCGAACGCACGCGTTGCGCGAGCGTTCGCCACGCCGCGCGCGAGGTGGTCCAGCCCGTTACGCTGGAGACATCCTCGCAACTCTAGGCTCCGAGATGCCGTTCGGGATGAAGAGGAGGTGGAGGAGGAGGAGGAGGAGGAGGAGGAGGAGGAGGTGGAGGAGGAGGAGGAGGAGGAGATGGAAGGGAGAAGGAGGAGGCGGATGATGTGCATGAGGGAGCAGGCGAGGCTGGCCTCGAGGACTGGGGGGGGGGCATGTTCATGTTCGCGGCCGGGCGCGCACGTCCTGTGGGGGCTCCCGGACCCCCCAGCCCCGGCCTCTTCCCATGCAGGCGCTCCCCTCCCCATTCCCCTCGACCCGCCGCGCCAGCAGCAGGTGATGCTCGTCTTTGCCTGCGGGGGCTGGGGAGGGGGCACTTCCGGTCGCCCCTCGCGGGCCCAGCCCCCGACCCCTGCGAGACGCCGCGGCACAACTCGGTACTCTTCGCCTGCGCCACGCGAAGATTGGGCGCCCCATCCTTGGCCAACGTCATGTCCATGAAGCCATACTGGTCGTCGTTGCCGTCTAGCGATGGCCCCTTCTCAGAGGTCACGCCACCGCCACCGCCAGAGACGACCCAGACAGTGGGATCGAGGAAATCATTGTACAGCTCCTCGGCGCGATCATGCCCGACGACTCGACCAACTGGCAACGATCAGATCTGGCGAATCACTCCCTTAGTCAAAACACTCTTGGTCTCTGATATAATCGGGCTTCCGCCCTCATCTGCCGCCAACATTCTCGCGCGAGGACCTGACCAGACCATGACACCGCCACGACCCAGCCAGCTGGCGTCGGACAGAGCCTAGATTTGACACTGACCGATCAGTGGACACCCCTGCAGGGCAGATTCTTGAGGATCACCAAACCGGATCAAGTATCTTCACGGTCAGGGGTGCAGTCGCCGAGAATACTCGGCGAATCGGTCCCCAGACCTACGCCGAGATGCGATCTTGACGTAGGGGGACCACGAGTTTTCGGCCATCGCTTTGGGTGGGGGATCGCGCCCCGAAGCGAGGAGTAGATCCGCCGACCCCCGCTTGCCTGGGGCGAGAAGGCGTGCGAGGGAGTTCACTGTCCCCCCCTCCCTCGTCCCCGACGGCCCTCTGGGTCCCTCGGAGCCGCGAAATCCACCAGCCGTGGCCTCCAGAATGCCCCAGATGCCCTCCGCGACGGCCCCAAGAGGAGGGCCAGCACGCCCGAACGGCTTCAAGGCCACTCAAGATGGCCTCCACACGGCCCACGAGGCCTCCCAAGACGCCTCAAGCGGGCCCCAGGATAACCCCCATGAGGATCTCAAGAGGCGAACATCTCTGATCATCCGATAATCATCGTACATGCTCGCGCTCTCGCCTTTCCGGGCCTCTGCAAGCCCCAGGCAGTCCGCGAGGTCCCCCCCTAGACTGGCCCATCACGGCCCAAGAAGCACCCAAGAGGGCCCAGGGACAGCCCAAGAGGGCTTCAAGACGGGCCGAGAGGCCCCCGAGACGGCCACAGAGGCCCTCGAGAGGGACTTACGAAGGGCCCAAGAGAGGCCCGAGAGGGGGACTTCGCAAGGGCCCCAAGGCCGTGCCCTCACAAGACGGCCCCCAAACCCCCAACGTGACCCCTACGAGGCCCGCAAGAAGTCCCCTGGAGGGCCCCAGGCAGCCCCCCGAGCAGCCCTGAAAAGAAAACTCCTCCGAGGCCGCCCCCGAGGCCTCGAGGAGGCCAAGGCCACGAGGAGGCCGAGGCCAGGAGGAGGCCCACCTAGAATCTCCGGCACGGGCGTGGAGGAAGAGGAGGTTAAGGGTGCAAGGGTGCAAAGGGTACCCGCGTGCGCCGAAGCGCGCCCTGCGCAGCGGCTGCTGTAGGGAGGGGAGGATAAACCAGCATCGTCCACACGCAGGCAGCACGACGGGAAGCGTCACACACAACATCGGAAGCTCCCTGGGAGTCGGCCAGAGCTGAGGCGAGCACACGCCCGCTATGATTCGCACGCTGCCGGCGACTCATCGACGAATTCAACATCGATCAGCCACACGGCGCACCCGAGCCGAATCTGCGATGGGATGGAGGAGAGATGGAACGCAGGAAAAAATATGAAGCACACGCGTGGACACAATTTTTCATTATTTTCTGAATGTTGTCACCCAGTCTTGGCGCCGCCCGCGTCTCTTCCGGCGAGATCTGGAATGGGCGGGCGGTGAACGAGAAGCGTCTTGAATCATCCAATGCCAAAAAGAATTCCCGAGGAGGCCAAGACTGAGGAGAACAAACATCCGCCATGATTCGTATGACGCAGGGGATCGGAGGGGCGGCTAAGCGTGGCTCGTTCGGATCTGCGTGCCACACCGTCTTCCGCTCGTCGCCGGGGGCATGCATGTCCTGGACGGATTCTGCGCCCCACCCCGGAGACGTCGCACCACCGTTGCGCTGCTTTTGCCTCCTGCTGCCCCCCTTCACAGGCTACCTCACGAAACGACTGGTGCGCACAGGTCTTTGGCATACAGCCCAGGCCAGCTTCAGAAAGTGACGCCCCCGGCACCTCAGAGGAGACTTCTCAAGGATGCGCCCGCGCGCTCCTCTGGCGTCTCTGGGGGCCCAGCCCGTCGGGCCAGCCAAGTGCGGACCAATCTGATGCGCAAAGAGTCGGGGGACGGCACTACATCAAAACTGCTCGCGGGCACCCGCGGAGAGGGTGCAACCTTCCATCTGGGCGGAGCCAATCTTCGGCTCAATGTCCAAACTGGGTTTCGGTCCCTAGAACTCTCTTTCGGCGGACCCCTGGGCTCCTCCAAATGCCAGGCTGGCCGCAAAGGGCCCTGGGCCCGAAAGGTCCACCCTGAGCGCAAAGCCCCCCTGCAGCCCTCAAAACAAATGAACAACACAATTGATGTCTTCCGACGCTGCGTAATCCTGTGCACACTCATACTCGCAAACAGAGATGGCATCCCGCAGGCCGGGAATATTCGCATCGGACAATATGTGCCAACGTTTGCGGGGTCAAAGGGAAGGCAGTATCATGAATCGAAGGGATTTGCCTACAACGCACGCCAGGAGTTGCATATCTTACAATCCTCTACCATCATGCTTTGCAGTGGTGCCCAGGACCTGGGACATTGTATTTCTGCGCGCCATGCTTGTTGCGAGCAACTAATCGGAGTGCAACCCAAGCAACGACAGCCATTCGAATTCAAGGTGTCACGAAAATCCTTGATTTACGCGCGGCGATCGAATGAATCTGATTGTCGCATCTGTGCCTTCAACCAACCCCCCGCTCCGTGTCCCCCCCAAATCGGCGTGGCAGGCCCGAGGCTGCCTACCTGATTGAATGCTTCCTCGCCTTGGCTGCCTCCAGCTCCAGCGTGAGACCATGACATGTTATTTTGGCTCGGATGACAGGCGAGCTGGGAATCCTTAGGATAGAACAAGATAATACACAAGCGTAAATGTTCGGAGCTCCGCCCGGATTCCTGACACGCGCTGAACTCCCCTCCCTGGCGGTCCAGCGCATACCAAGAAATCCGCGCGGACCTCTGAAAATTCACGCTTATATGCGAACGACTCTCCTTCCGTGGAAGATTGCTTCGGGGGCGGCACTCCCGGAAATTCCCATGGGAGCCCGGAGTCTTCGGGTGGGCCAGACGTTTCCCGAGGCGCTACACAAGAGGTGTCCGAGGCGCTGTCAGGAGACGTTTCTGGACGCGCCAAGCGGAAAACTCCGGAGGCGTCTTGGAGTGAGAATGTCAAGAGGAGGAGGAGGAGGAGGAGGAGGAGGAGGAGGAGGAGGAGGAGGAGGAGGAAGGAAGAGGGGAGGAAAGGGAACGATGCAGAAAAACAAAGGAAAGTACATAAGGAGGAGGAAGAGGAGGAGGAAGAGGAGAGGGGAGAGGCGTCTAGAAGTGTGAAGAGGAATATCAGAGGAGGAGGGAAACGAGGAGGAGGAGGTCGAGGACAGCGGCACGCCCTAAAGTACGCAAGAAGAGCTCAATGCGCGCTGCGCATTCTTTTCACTTTTAGGGCAGCGCCGTGATCGAGGTCAGCTGGGAGCAAGGACGAACCCAGCCCTCGCTACATTCCAACGCAGAGGGGCAGAAACAACAACTTGTTTGTTTTAGGCATAACGCGGCGGCTGCTTCCATCGCAACGCAGACGTGCATAACAAACAATGTTGTACACGAGGAATGAGGGGTAGGACGAGGGAGGGGTCGCCGAGGCGACGGTCAGAGGATAAGGAAACGAGGAGTAGGCGGAGGAGGACACTGGCACGCCCTCAGATACACAAGAACAGCCAGCAGCGCGCTGCCCTTCCGCTGGCGCCCGCGAGGTCCTGCCGAGTAGGGCCCCGCCATGACTGCCCACCTCCGACGTCTCCAGCCCAAGATGGTTCGCAGTCGATTGCTCTGTCCTGTTGGATCGTTGCTCGTCACTGTTGCCAAGTCTCGACAACAGGTCCCGTCCTTGGTTGCCCAGCTTGTTAAAGTTTACGCCATCGCCAAGGAGATTCCGCCCATCTGGTCCTACCCTCTGTTCCATGTCCGCTGGGATTCGCAGTTGTTGCCCATGGGGTCCCACGCATGGGCTTCCGCTGGTGCATTTCCCACAAGGGTTCTTACACTGATGGGATCCAAATGTCGCTGGAAAGAATTGGCCCCTGATGCTGAATATCCCTTTTAGAGTTCACCCCTGCACGGTGTTTTTTACGCCGATGGTTTCCAATGGGCACGCGTAAGGCATCCCAGAGCTACATTCGCCGATTGCGTATTATTGATAGTTCATTCTCAGTGGGTGTGGATATCACACACAGTAAATTACCTGCCCGCTGCCGTTGGGCCACTCAGACGACAAGCAGAATGGCTACGCATGTGGCTTCCTGTGGATACCCCTCTCTCTTCCCTAAGTGTTCCGATGTGGCCCTGGCAACTTCAGTCCAACGACCGTCTTGCGGCCCAACATGTTTAAGCCAAACGGAGGGCGGGGGACGAGGAGGAAGGAGGAGGAGGGGGAGGGGGAGTAGGAGGGGACGGAGGAGGATGAGGAGACGGAGGAGGAGGAACAGGAGGAGGAGGAGATGTATGAGGAGGAGGAGGAAGAAGGAAGGGAGAAGGAGGAGGAGGAGGAGGGAAGGAAGGAGGAAGGAGGAGAAGAAGCTCGACCAAGCGCAGGCCGACGGCTGGCTGCACACGCGCACGGCCGCGGCCTTGCCAGATCCTGGGCGCTCGACGAGAGGAGGGCGCGGGGAGCGAGGCGACGGGGTCCTGGATGTGCCGGTGACCCGCGATGACCAGGTCGAACTCGTGCTTCGGGGCGAGCTTCTTCCAGTCCGGCGCGCCCCAGCACGGCGGGAAGTGCGTCACCACGATCCGCCACTCTGCCGTCGACGCGGGCACGACGTCGTCGAGCCACTCGCGCTGCTCCTTCCACAGCTTCCCGAACCAGTCCTCGCCATGCTGCCATAGGGTGCGCATCAGGGGCACTTGCGCCCCTACCTGCGGCTTCTTGACACAGTTTTGGCGGCGCGCACCAGGGGGTGGAGGGAGGGGGGAGGGCTTCTTAGAGGGAGGCCGCTTCTTAGAGAGCGCCGGCCTTGCATCTGCAGATCAGGCCCGCGCCTTCTAAGGAGCAGGGGTGCTTCTGAGCAAGCCTTCCCCCCTCCCCCCGCCCCCCTCTGCGCGTGGCTGACAGTCACCGTGCTCTCATCAGGGACGCCAGATGAGGAACGAGGCGGCGCTTCAGGCCACGGCGAGCCGCGGCCACGAACAGGCTCCTCCATGGAAGCCCGAGCCCCTCCCGAGCCCAGAAGAGGTGGTCATGCCTGCGTTTTCGCTGCACTCGGCTGTCTGCGGAGGCGCGCCCCGAACACAGCGGGCACGATCTCCTGGGGACGGCTGCCGAGGGCGAAGCCGGCCCCAAGGAGCCATTTCCTCCGCGGGCGAGGCAAGAGCCTCCTCCTCCTCCTCCTCCTCCTCCTCCTCCTCCTTCTGCTACTACTTCTCCTCCTTCCTCCTTCCTCCTCCTCCTTCCTCCTCCTCCTCCTCCTCCTCCTCCTCCTCCTCCTCCTCCGCCTCCTCCTCCCTCCTCCCTCCTCCCTCCTAACAACTCCGCTGCTCCCAGGACCTCTCCCGGTGTGCGTCTCGGCCAAGAGCTCGAGGCGACTCCAGGCATGGCGACGTGAGACGGGCAGCGGTACTAGTATCTTTTCCGCCTCGGTGCGAGGTTGGGATTTATCCACATCCACCAGTTGGGGAAACGACGCCCTGGAACCTCAGCGGGCGGCGGTGGATACATGGATCTATTTGGGCCCCAGGGGGCCCGAATACATCCATATCCACCGCCTGCCGAGATCCCCGAAGATGGATCTTCCAGGCGGTTGAGAGGCCCCCAGAAGCCAATAGGAGCCCTCCAAGAGGCCCGTGAGGGGCATTCCGGGAGGGCCTCATAGGCATCCCCGAGGCCCCTGACCCACAGGCCAGGCACGGTGGCACGACTCTTGCCGAATTCACTATCATAGGGGGTCGGCGGATTGGCGCTATAGCCTCTAAATTCCTGCGTCGGACCCTGAGCCTTGGAGAGGGTGGCGGCAGCGGCGCCTAGCTTGTTCCAGGAACCCAGGGGCTCTGGGGCAAGCCAGCGACCCGAGACGGTTCGGCGGCTCAAAGCTGGGGCCCTGACTTGCCATCGCTCGGACGCCCATTTCCCGTGCACTTTGTCGGATTCGGGCGCTTTTTCTCCCGCCGGATGCTCCCGGATGCTCCTCGATGGTCCTTGCAGAGGAAAAGTGTGCACACGTGCGAGCGATGCCACACTGAGGGATGGGACCCTACGGGCGAGTGGCATCACAACATTGCAAATCCGACCTGGGGACCCTTCCCCTCCTCAGGGCCCCCCCATCCCTCGGGGCCCCATCTCTGAACCGCCGCAAAGGTGGGGGGCGGGCCCGGGGCGGGAGGCCGCCAAGCTCTGCAGCAAGAGGCCGCGGTCCACAGCCCAGGATCCTTCCTCCTGCTGCTTCCACGGGAAAACACACACCCACACACACTGTGGGAAAAAAACACACTGTGGGAAAAAGCAAACAGTGGGAGAAAAAAAAAACACAGTGTGGGAAAAAACGCACTGTGTGTTTTTTTTTCCCACAGTGTGTTTTTTTTTCCCACGGGCAGGAGGCCGTCAAGCTCTGCGGCAGGAGGCCGCGGTCCCCAGCCCAGGCTCCTTCCTCCTGCTGCCTCCACCGTTCGGCCACGCCCTTGCAGCGTTGGACAAGCGTGCTGGCCGTCGTCGTCGTCGTCGTCGTCGTCGTCGTCGTCGTCGTCGTCGTCGTCGTCGTCGTCGGCGTCGTCGTCGTCGTCGTCGGGCGCGCGAGCCCCAGTCGAGAGCCGCGCGCTTGGAATCCCTCCCCAAAGACTTCGCCCCGGTTCCTGGCACTTCCACACCCCGCTCGGCCCCACTGGGGCGCAGGTGACCGGCTCCTCGTCGTTGTGCGTCTCCGAGCAGATGTTGTGCGGCGACGGGTCTTTCGGGTCGAGGGCGTCGAAGATGTTTGTATCCAGGAAGTCCGCCGACCCGCTGGGAGCGCCAGGGATGCTGGAACCGAAGCCGCACTGGTCTGCACAACAGGACCCACACGTGCGATGTCTTGATTTCTCCGAAACGGACCCTTTCCACAAGGCCAACTCTGCATCCCGATCGGACTTCTAGCGACCCGGGTCAATGCAAACTCGGACCAGTTGGGCTTTGCAGCATCCTGCAGGATCCGGAAGGATCCTGCGCGATAGCCCAGGTCAATGCAACCCAGGCCTTACAGGATCCTACAAGATCTCGCGCTGTGGCTGACCCCACTTTGAATTGACCCCCGTCCCAATGCTCCCAACACGAGTCGTTTGTTTGACGGCCCTGGGGCCAGGCGAAATCCCCTGGAGACCGAAAACGGACAAAAACCTCCCGTCGTGTTTTCTGTTCACGACGCGAGCATGTCTGGGGCTGGCCTTTCGCTCCTGTGAGCCCTCGCACCGGATCCATCCATCACGCGGCCCCGGTGCCCACACTTTCTCTCCGACGGGCGGGACGTCACCCCGGCTTCCCGCAACAGCGTTTGATGAACTAACCACTTGTGTTGCACAACCCGTCACCCACGCCCCCCTCCCTTCTGAAGGGCAACGAACACAACCATAGCCGAACACTCTCGATCGCCCGGGAGGCTTGCAAGTTCATACGCGCCAGATGCATCGACACTCCATCATATTCCGAAGAGGCCTTTCGCAAAACATCCAGTCCTCCACAGTAGGGATTGCATCTTGCTGCGGGATCTGGACGCCTGGGAGCCAATCGTACACGTCCGCGTGAACATTCTGCACATTCGCAGCAGGGTGCCCATGCCACGACATGCGTGCGGGCGCGGTTTCTACATTTCCTCTGCGCAAACCCATGCCCAAGTGTCCCGATCCCCAAGACGGTGTCAATGGCAGAACCAGGCGTGGATGAAAAGCACTTGTTCGTCGCGGCGCGGCAAAGGCGATCCGCTCGAAGTTTCTAAATGCCCCGCCGCGCACAGATTCACGAGGGGGAGGAGAGGGCGGCCGCGGAGGTTGGGGGGGACGCGAGGGGCACTCTCACGCGACGGCGCCGCGGGAAGCGCGCGGGGCGGCCAGGCTGCAGGGCAGCCCCTGGCAGCGGCGCGGGGCGGCGTTGCGGGCGCGCCCAGGGGCGGGGCCAGCAGCCGCAGTGCGGGCGAGGCCCAGCAGGCGGGGGGCCGGGAGCAGCAGGCGGCCGGCGGACTGGGGCGCCCGGGCGGGAGGGCAGGGGAGGCAGCACCGGACGCGCGCGGCAGCGGGCAGAGGGAGCGCGGTGCGGCCAGCGCCAAGCCGGTGCCAGGGGGCAGACCAGCAGGGCACTGCGGGGCGGGCAGCGGAGTGGCAGAGCGCAATTAAGACACTCGCACACAGGCTGCGAGAAGGAGTTGATCTAGGGACCAGAAACGCAGGCGACGAAACGAGAGGTGACAGATCAGAGAGGAGAAAGGCGCTCACAGGCGATGAGAGGAGATGGGAGGAGATGGGAGGAAAAAAAAGAGCACAGGATATGGAAACAAATGGAATCAGAAGATGAGGACGCGGGGCTTAAGTGTGAGCAAGAGCAGGACGATGCTGCTGGTGATGCTGCCGATGATGATGACGACGATGTGGATGCTGCTGTTGATGACGACAATGATGAACACGAGTACGATGCTGGTGTCGGTGATGATCGTGGTATGACGACGATGATGATGATGACGATGACGATGACTATCATGAAGATGATGATGATGATGACGATGACGATGACAGTGACTATGATGATGATGATGATGATGATTATGATGTGTTGATGATTGCGACGATGACGACGATGGCGATGACGATGTGATGATGATGCAGATGATGGTGATGATGGTGATGATGATGCTGATGACGATGACGATGACGATGGCGATGATCATGCTGATGATGATGCTGTTGATGATGATGATGATGATGATGATGATGATGATGATGATGTCGATGATGGTGATGATGACGCTGATGACGATAGCGATGGCGATGGCGATGGCGATGAAGATGCTACTGATGATGGTGATGATGGTGATGACGCTGATGATGATGCTGATGATGATGATGATGACGACGATGGTGATGATGATGATGATGAGGAGGAGGAGGAGGAGGAGGAGGAGGAGGAGGAGGGTGATGATGGTGATGATGCTGATGATGATGCTGATGCTGATGCTGATGATGACGATGCGGACAAGGGAGGGGGGAAGGGGGGAAGTGGGACGTGCCTGGGAGGGGGCCGCGCGCTCGCTCCGAACTCCCAGTGGCGGATGGCCCCGACACCGCGGGGGAGCCCCAGGGCGGGAGAGCGTGCCGCGCCCCAGGCCACCCTGGCCCCCAAAAGGCCTCGAGGCACCCAGGAGGCCGAGCAGCCCGCAGGTCGCGGCTGCCCTCCCCCCTCTCCAGAGACCATACGTCCTCTCCAGGAACCGTCTGTCCCCTCCTCCCTCGCTCCCGACCCCCCTCCTCTGCTCCATCCCTCTCCCTCTGCCCTCTGCTCCCTGCCGAATCTTCGCTCGGCGACCCCCACGCCTCCCCTAGCCTCCCCGCGCCTCCCCTCCCCTCCCTCCTCCCTCCTCCCTCCTCCCTCCCTCCTCCCCGCGCCTCCCCTCCCCCTCCCATCTCCCCTCGCCTCCCCTGGCGTGGAGCGCGCGGAGACACGCGCTGGGCGGGGGCCGGGCGGGGGCCTGCCTCCGCGGCGTCCCAGATAGTAGTCCACGGCGAAGTCGTCGTACCACACCTGGCGCTTCGGAAGGTCCCGGATTGCTGCTTGCCGTCAAAACCAGCGGTGCGGAGGGTACAGGCGGGGCGTTGACCTAAGGAACCCCAAATAAGGAACGAGGCCCCCTTTTTCCATGAGTTAAACTTCGATTTCCCATCGAAAACATAAGGAAAGCCTGATGCAAGCTGTGACACACTTAAGGAACGCGGAGCCCCTCCCCAACCAAAAGGGTTCCTTCTTCAGGGCCCCGACTGCAGTCGGGAGTGCCAGGCCCCTGAACATGGTAAAACTAGCTGACGCCAGCGACCCTACGGTTCAACTGGAACCATCGCGCGCGTTTCGCGCGCGCGCTTCAGATCTAGCTGGGCTGGATGGTCGGACTCTTGGGGATCTCTATTCCATGGCACTTCTTCTCCGGGGCTTCCAAGAGCCACGAAGACGGCCGAAGTGGCTTCCAAGACTTCCTACGGTCCACCCACGACGTCTTGATTAAGACAGGCTCAAAACGCACTTCGGGCGCCCTTTGATTCGCCGCGGCTGGACGTAGCCAGAGGAAGATGGAGGAGAAGGGGAGGTGAAGGGTTTCCCTGGGGGAGAAGGAGGGTGAGGAGTTGGAGAGGGTGGAAGAGGCCGCAGAGGAGGAACCGGAGGAGGAGAAAAAGGAGGAGCAGGGAATCTGATTTTCTCCTTTTGACAAGCGTAGCGAACCTGCCAGGCGAACTTTGAACAAAGTGTTGGACATCCCGTTTTTCTCAAGTGCCCTCAGGGCCTCTCTCGGGGCTCTTTTGGCCCTCTTTGGGGCTTCGTGGGGACCTCTTGAAGCCTCCTGGGGGTCTCCTGGGGCGAAGATCTCGGGTTCTCGGTTCACGTTCCCGATCCTGGGCCGCGGTCGGGGCCCTCTCGGGCCGTGTTGGACGTCTCTTCGGCGCCGTTGACCCTATTGGGCCGCCTTGGGGCGCTTTTGAAGCCTATTGTGCCGTCTTGGGGCGATCATCGGAGCCTCACGGGGCGTTTTGCAGGGTCGGGAAGCGGAACAGGAGGAAACGCCAAAATTGTTCAAAAACCAATGGAACATACATATGTGTTGGCATCTTCGAGCTCTGTTGGGAGACCTCTTGGAAGCCTCTTGGGTATCTTGGGGGCCTCTTGGGCCGTCTGGAGGTCGTCTTGGGGTCTCTTGGAGCCTCTTTTGAGATTCTTGGGGCCTCTTGGGGCCTCTTGGGGGCCTCATGGGGCCTCTTGGGGGCTTCTTGGGGGCCTCTTGGGGCCTCTTGGGGGCATCTTGGGGCGGAGAGCTTGACTTTTCAATTCGCGTTCCCTCTCTTGGGCCCCTCTTGCGGCCTTCTTTGGATCCTCTTGCGCCGTTTTGGGCGGCTCTGGGGCCGTCTCGGGGCTCTCTTGGGCCGTCTTGGGGCCCTCTCGGGGGCCTCTTGGGCCGTCTTGGAGCGGTTTGGGGTGCCTTTTGGGCGGTGCTTTAGCGCCGGAAGCACGAAACAGCGAGAACGTAACAAACATTATAAAACAATGGGGCCTCTCGGGGCGTCTTGGGGCCTCTCGCAACAAACAAAAATCAACGATTTTTAAGGGCCTCTCCGGGCGTCTTGGAGGCCTCGGGGGCAGTTTAAAACGCATCGTGCGTCGCCAGGGACCCCTGGACGGCGTCTTGGGGGTGTCTCGAGACCGTCTGGGGCCGCCGGGATTTGCGGGACGGGAAAATGACCACAGCCACTGCCTCTTGTTTGCGCCGCCTTCCAGCCGTCCGAAAAAGAAGCAGTGGTTGTGGTCATCTCCCTGGTGCCAAGCTCAACGAAAATGACCACAACCACTGCTCTGTTTCTGCTGGCTGGAAGGCGGCAACAAAAAGAAAAGCAGTGGCTGTGGTCGTTTTCACGTTCCGTGGGGATTGCTCCCTGAGGGCTCCACGGAGCGATTTTAAGCCTCCCAGAGGCGGGCCCTGGGCCCCGGGGACCCACATCTGCGGTCGAGGTTCTGGCCCTCCGCCCCCGAGCCTGGTGCGCCGCTGTATGTATAATCCGACCGTGCGCGCGTGACCAGCCCGACTCCCCCCCACCCCCACTCCCCCCCCCGAGACAAACGACTCAAGCGCAACTCGTGCAACTTGCCCAGTCCTTGTGACCGGCTGCGACCACAGCACCCCGCCCCCACCTCCTTGTTCCTCCTTCCTCCTTCCGCGCTGTCCTACCCCTCCTCCCTCGGAGCACCAGCTAGCGCTCACGCCCAGCAGCCGCGGCCGTGTGATACGTATTCCTCGGGGCAGGAGAGCCCAGAATCGAATCGACAAGTCGGATCGGCGATCGAAATGGCTCGGATCGGCGGAAATCGGCAGCCGAGTCGGGAAAAGTCGAGTCGGCGGAAATCGGCAGCCTAGTAGGCCCTCGTTAGAAAATCTGAGCCAAAATCGGAATCCGAAATCGGATCGAATTGGAATCGGAAGTCATCGAAATCGAATCGAATCGACTCGGAGGAATCGAAATTAGCCCTGTCGGGGCCCTAGAAGATGCTCCTGCCTAGCTCCAGGTTGCAAAACATCGCGCTCAGGGAGCACAGGCATGCCCGCGTCGCAGAAGACTCGCGGTGCGAAATGTCCAGCATGGTTCGGCCTCGGGCGGCCCTCGGCGGGCCCCGGGACTGCCAACAAAACGGCTCGGGACGAGAAAGCAGCCCTGGGGCACGGGTCGGGACTTCCTGGACCAAGAATAAGGACATCGCATGTCTGTGGCGCGTGTTGGACTAGAGCGGAGCCCAATGTGTCGTCCGCCTGGCTTCTTCACCTGGAGCGGCTTGCTTCATCTCGACGGCAATGGATACCCCGCTGGACTACTCTTTCGTCGCGGCGCTGGCGGTCGCTCAGCGCGGGGTCGCCTAGACAGGTGGCGCATGGGCAGCACCAAGGCGCGGGAGAAGAGTAGGGCGGTTATATCACACGCGTGGGCCAGCAGAGCGCGCATGGCCCAAAATAAGTGTCAATCTCCATGAAACGGTTACGAATACCGTCAGCAACACAGGCTGTTACTTCACCACTGCATGTGCAATTGCCCTGAGCAGGGCTAAGGCGGGTTCAAGCACTCCCGTACCGCAAGGTTTGGCGCAGCGTTACGAGAGCCTGTGCTGCCGAACGTTCCTCGCCATGAAAAAAAAAGGTGAAGAAAGAGGAGCAACACCAGGAGGAGGAAGCCTGAGCATTCAAGTGAACAAAAAGTGAGCCGGGGGAGCAGGATGGATAGGAGAAGTGGCAAAAGTAGAATGGTAAATATGCGGTAGGGAATGCGGAGGCGGCCAGATGGGAGGATGAGAGAAGAGATAGAGAAGGGTGAGGGAATGGCGAGGAAAGAGATGAAAAAGCCAACGTCTGATTATATTACCATGCAATGCGCATCGTCAGCCACAATGCCCCACAATTAGTTCGAACCACCCACCTTCGACTTATAATACATCGCCGGAGTCATCCATCGGCCTGTGGCGTAGTCCGCGTCGCTCCACGTGTATCCAATGTTCTGGTCCCAGGCGTGGGTGAAAAGCCAACCGCCGTAATCATGGTTCCCCAAGATGCCAAGCCACTGGATGCCCACTTTTTCTCTTCAATACCACCCATGTGGCAGGCGAAAGGTTCGGCAATTGCCGATCAATGAGGATGGTGGAAGGATACCGTGGAGACTGGCTAGGATTGAGGAGGAGTTCGGAAGAGACGTAGTAATGAAGAGGCAGGATGTTGATAACTACAGAGGGTAATATGAAAGAGAAGCACTGAGACGGAGAAGGAAGAAGAGATCGGAGCAGAAGCAGAGAGGAATTAAGAAGGAGAGGGACGGTGGGTAGGAGCAGGAGGAGCGAGGAGTGATTAGTAAGGGGGATGAGGTGGAATGAAGATGAGGCCCAACGTCGCAAGAGAAACATCCCCAATCGGCCCTAACGCCTGACCGTGGTGTAGCTGGAGCTCGGCGGCCATTCTGGCAACACGATAAACTTCAAGATGCCAATTCATCGGGCGTGCTGAAGAAGCAACTGGGTTGCATACGCATCCAGCACGCAGTAACCGAATACCGAGAAGATCACCAGTCGGGTGATGAGGAGGTCTGGCGAAATTGGTGCAATTGTCGGTTTGCGATTGGCATCGGATCGCATCCACTATCTATCTACGTAGCAATCCCAACAAACGTGTGTACACACATACATACTTTACATATACGCTCTCTCAGATATCCCTATACTCCAGTCTCACTGTAGACCCACGCTCTTGGATCTAGCATGGACGGGCTGCAGCGATGGAAGAGGCCATCGATTTGGAGATCGTGGCGCCTCCTACCAAAATCGAAGAACGCCCGCAGTGCGAGGCTGCCCCAACAACATACGGCGGCAAAGCGCGGACGCTCGCACGGTAGACAACAGACTGCGACGTTGGACTTTTAACGGCTACACATCGGATGTCACCCGCAATACGCTATACCCGGAGGAAAAGGATTGAATCATTTGCAGCTCTGTCGATGTACATACCTGTATGCTCGCATGAAAAGCCTCATGTCGCTGGTCGGCTATGCATGCCCACTCCATGCTCAGAAACAGTCACCAATGCAGCCTGCTTATCGTCGATGCCATCGCCCGTATAGAATTTCTCATACACGTGCTCGAACTGGTCCACCTGAAGAATATCTGCCGAAACATTGCCTTGCAGCAGAAGAAGAAACTGGCGACGGCAATGGGGGAACGGAAACTTACCGATATCGCTGCCCCCCAGGAGCTCGCAAAGAGTACGCGCAGACCGAGATTTCGAGGCGGGCTCAGCCGTGTCGACGACGAAAGGCTAGCGGTATCGGCTTCTCTTCCTCCTCTGCAGCACACTGCGAAGCGATCGTACCGAGAGCAGTATAGAGGCAGCGCGTGATCGAGATCATCCCGAGACTGCCAGCGTGTAGACTTGCGCCACCGTGTTTTTTAAAGGCGACTCGGGGGGGTCTGCTCTGGATGGGCGCCTGCAGAACCAGGCAGGAGGGGAAAGGGACAACTTCGGCATCCAACGCCCATCGGGAGAAGGAGGCCCACTGGGGACGGGGAATGAAACCAGTGCACAATGGTGCCTTTCATGACGATGATGATGATGACGACGACGATGACGATGACGCCGACGATGACGATGACGATGACATCGTCATCGTCGTCGTCGTCGTCGTCGTCATCGTCTCTGACCGCTGGAACCAGTGATGCCCCACCTCGGCCCCCCCTAGCCAGCTACAGAGCGCCTTGCTCTGCTTGTACACCGTCGTGCCGCCGTTGCTGTATGCCTTCGTGATGTCCTCCGCGCCGCAGTGGTCCTGCTGCCGATTTCAATCAGACCGCGTGGGCGCCGCACCCCCCCTGGGTCGTCGGGCGCGCGGGGTGCACCGGCTGCCCGCCCCTGCCGAGCGATCGTCAACGGAGGAAAGCCAGTCGAGACAGCGGCGGCCCTCCCTGGCGTAAGCCGTCCTCTTTTCGGGCCCCCCGGTGCTTTCTCGTCGACGCGGCCGGATCCCCCTCGACGAAAATTGGCCAGGACGGCCAATAGAACCTCGTCTGAAGGCATGTGCGCGCAGAGCTGCAGAGGATGCCTGCTCGCGCCGCTGACCAATCAGCAGGTCTGGTCCCCAACTCGACCCTGCTGCTTCAGCCCAGCAAGCCACGAGCGCCCTCGCCCACGATAGCGTTCGAGCCCGTGCCGAAGCTCCACCCTCTGCGCCGACAAACTACCCACCACCATGGATGCGAATGCTGGCATGGCCTTCCGCTCTTGGGTAAGGAAGGCCAGAAAAGGGCAGGAGGGCGATTGGTACGGTCGAGGTGCTCGTTCAAGGATGTGCCCAGGAAGCTTCAGACCCTAGAAGATTCCTTATCTGATGAGGGCGGCCGTGATATCCATGGCCAAACCTCAACTGGTGCTCCACAAGCTTCCAGACCCTGGATTCCCAATCTGAGAGTGCCTTGTCCGACGCCCTCCTCACCGCAAAACCAATGCCTATCCGCTGCCCCGACCTTCCGTGTCCCAACCTCGGTTTCACGGGCCACCTTCAAGTATGTTGTCAGCCAGTGACGGCTGGGACCCTACACGGTGCGCGCGCGAGCCGCCGCAGGGCCAATCCTCTATGCCCGCCCAATAAAAGTTGTCGCCCACATTCAGGAAGTAGTCGGGCTTGCTCTCTGGCGCCCGCTTCCGCATCTGGTCCCGAACGAGGGTCTGGGCCTGCACGGCAGCCCGAGCCGCAAGTCTCCTCCCTCTCTTCGGCATTCCCTTGTTCCCCCTTCATCGTCACGAACACCATGTCTGGCATGACGCCGTCCATACATCGTCACGAAACACCACGCCCCCGAAGGCTACCAACCAATCGTCCAAATATCTGGCATGACCCTTGCCTACGAACGACACCAGTACATGAAACCAGGACCCCAATAAGTTACCCAAACGTTCTCGAGACTCTGGGTGGGGATTTGGCATGCCTCCGAAACGGACACGAAACAGAAAACAATATCAGAAGCCCGGGGAAAGATCGGCTGCCAATGTGGCAAATTTATCTCTAGTCTGCACTTCCATTCGCAACAAGCAACGAACGCCCACACCAACCACCCGCGATTACACACGCTAGCCAATTTGAAACAGCAAATAATGGCACGACCGGAATGTGCCGGGCGACACTGGAATCTGCCCAAGACCAGCCTGGATCATGAGAGAGATGCGGCTGCTGACTCAGGAATGTGCCTCCCAAGAACATGTCCCCAAATGCATGTCCAATTGTTTCCCCTCGAAACGAACTCTGAACCCTAGGCAAATGCCCCCGTCCCATCCTTGCCATGCGATGTCCCACCTTGAACCATGCTAGAGCTAGAGCACAACCCAGAGGTAACCAACAAGGGGGCCTGGGCCTAAAAAGAGAGCAATGCGACTGGCGCTGCGACTGCGACTGTAAACACAACATGTAAACTTGGACGGCCTAGGACTGTTTATATGTTGCTGCAAGATACAAATGTATGGAAAGTGAGATGCCACGATATCGAAACAACAAGCGATATGCTCACCCGTTCGGGCGTTCTCGACGTTCGGCTACCTGTATTACAGTTGGCGCCACACGAATATGCAGAACCCTGGACACACAGACGCACACACACACACACTACAACTGCTAGTACAACTACTGAGCCAACCACAACTAACATGGCTAGGGAGATTGCTAAACGGCGGCTACTGACGATGCTGCTTCAAGCGGAAACACGCAACGTCCAACATCAATGCGACTGGCGCTGCGACTGCGACTGTAAACACAACATGTAAACTTGGACGGCCTAGGACTGTTTATATGTTGCTGCAAGATACAAATGTATGGAAAGTGAGATGCCACGATATCGAAACAACAAGCGATATGCTCACCCGTTCGGGCGTTCTCGACGTTCGGCTACCTGTATTACAGTTGGCGCCACACGAATATGCAGAACCCTGGACACACAGACGCACACACACACACACTACAACTGCTAGTACAACTACTGAGCCAACCACAACTAACATGGCTAGGGAGATTGCTAAACGGCGGCTACTGACGATGCTGCTTCAAGCGGAAACACGCAACGTCCAACATATAATACAAGTTTCTCTTCAAGATGGTGCGAGATGGCGGGATGGCCAAAGTTTGATCCGCATGGCTCCCAGCATGCCTCCCAGAATCGTGGGCGCACGATCCCACATATCTTATGGTGCCAGAGCTGTTCCCGAATGGCTCCCGAATTGGAAGCAGGATGTTTGAACACTCGTCTGCTGCAGCCTTGCGTTCACGCGTTTGTTTCAGGGCTCAAGAGCGGCATAGCGCGAGACTCTCACAGCGCCGCCAGCGTCGCCACAAAAACGACCAACATCGCAGGAGGAAGTGCGCATAGCAGTCGGGGGCTGCGACGTTGGCACTATGTTCGCGCGCTGGCACTCGCCGGACGAACGCGCTCGCATGCTCTCGCGCGCTGCCCGGGCAGCCGGTCGCAGCTCTGGAAATGGCGCGCGCGCGCCAGATCGGGCCGCGCGAGGTAGACGCGGTGGCAGGCACCCTAAAAGCCCAAAGGGCCACCCAGGACGCGTCCAATGGGCCACCGTCGGATGCCCCGTTGGGGTTCGCCGCCAGTGACCTCGCGGAGCCAAGCGGTGACCCCCAACGGTGCCCCTAACAGTGACACCCCACGCTGACCCCCAACAGTGGCACCCCAGGGCGGCGGCACCGCTCCCGCGGATCATCGACCTCGGGACGACGGGCGGCATGCGCCAACGTCCGCGCAACGCGTTCGAAACCGCCCGCACGTGTTCCGGGAAACCCCATGTGGAATCGGCAGCGGCGCACTACGTGCCCGAATCGGCGCCCAAATCACGCGCCCGAATCGATGCCCGAGCGGAAGCGATAATGCGCCCGACCGGAAGCGATAATGTGCCCGAGCGGAAGCGAAAATGTGCCCGAATGGCTCTGTAACTGAAACGACTTAGTGACCGAATGGACACGATAAAATGCTCGAGTGGGACTGCAACGAAAACGATGTTGTGCCCAAGTGGGCAATCATGCACCCGAGCGGAAGCCGCTATGCGACGAGATGGAAACGATGATGCGCCTCAATTGAAAACGGCAAACCGCATTGGGTGCCCACCAAACCGCGACCGACGTGGGCGCGCCAAAACGACCGCATTGATTCGGGCATCGGTCGGGCACCGATTGGGGCGCCAATCGGGGGCGGCGCTGTGCACTTTTGGCCCATCTTTTCGGGCGCCATGCGGGCGCGGCCGCGCGAAACGCGGGCTGGCTGCTGACGCGTAGGGGGGTCGGTCGCGCAAGCGCCCACTTCGGGCGCGCGCTTGCGGTGGCGGCGGTAGCGGCGGGGATCGGGGCGACGGCGGCGGCGCTGGAAACTCTCGCGCCTCCCCCGCGACGCGCGCGCCGTCGCCGTTGGAGGCCGCGCCAGATACACCAACTTTGCGAAGCGCGCCGCGTGCTGCCCCGGCCGCGCCAGAGGAGCCAATTGCGTCAGGCTCGCCGCGCGGCGCAGGAACGGCAGGCGCGACGCGCGTGCGCCATGCGCGCAGGCGCGCAAGGAGTCGAAAAGCCCAACCAGACGCGCAGCAAACTCCCCGCAAGTAAATAGCTAAATCATGACCAAAACACTCTCGTGTCTCCAGAAGCCATCACGAGCCATCTGTCAAGACCTTGCCATGCCATTGCACGCCAGCGCAGCGAAGCTCCATCTCAAGAGCCAGAACCGATCGGCAACAACCTATCGTTGAGAAACGACGGCCAGCGAAAGCTGCACCACTCACAGCGCACGCGCCGATCCAGACCGCACGCACGCCGCACCACGCGACAATATCGTGTTGAGTTTGGTAAATCCACGGCGCGAGCAGCGCCAGGCTTCGAGGCAAAAACGCATCCGGGCACGCCCTGTGCGGGTCTTGGGCCCGTGCGCCCACGACAAGAGGGCCGCGGGCCGCCGATTCTCGTGCACCAGCGGGTTTCGTTTTTCTGCGCATGAAGTGGCGAGAAGCGACCTCGCGATGAATGGCTCGCGCGCGCTCGTGTGCGCGCCAGCTGCCAGGCGGCAAGCAATTGCGATGCTGCGCAGAGCGGGCGCGCGCGCTGCGCTGCGCCCAGGTAGACATTCGACGATCCTACGGGCAGAAAGGAACGGCCACCCGCGATACAGTGGCGCCAGTGCAAGAGAGTGACTATGCGAACGTTCGTCCGCGCAGTCCAGCAACCTGACCAGATTCGCGCAGACTGCTCCGTCCGCGTCTCCTTGTGGCCATATCGCGGCTCGCGCCACAAACGCGGCGGGGCCCCTGGGTCGCCCCCGAGCGAGGCTGCGACCGGCGCGCGCTAGTGAAGACGAGGCGCCGCCACCCGAAGCACGCAGAAATGGCGCCGCGGCTGCCGGGGGCCGCCGTCGCAGCCGCTGCCCTCCTGGGGCCTGATGTTCCAGCCGCACATCTGCCCCGCGTCGCCCCCGCGGCGGAAGCGCGCGCCCCCATTCTCGCCAAGAGGGCCCCGAGGTGTCTTTGATGGCCCAGTATGGCGCGGGGCCGATGTGAATCTCTTTCACGATGCTCCGGGCACGCAGCGTCACCGCGCGATGGATCGCGCCGTTGGAATCGCGGCCCCCTCGCGTCAGCGCGCCGCCGCTGCGGCGGCGCCAGCGATCGCCCGCGGCCGCGGCGACGTAAAAGGGGCCGTCGCTCAGAGGGCCGAGGCTCTTCGCGATGGGCCCCAACTCTGTTCTCCGGCAGCTTCGCCCACCCCCTCGCGCCGATTGCCGTGCCCCCGAGCTCGCTCTCGAACGCACCGGCGAGGTGGGCCTCGCTGCCGCCCTTGTCCATCGCGCCCCGGGTCGCGACCTCGAACTCAGCCGCCAGGCCCGCGGGGCCGTTGCCCGCGGGGTCGACCGCCGGGCTCCGCATCGCGACCTTGTTAAGCATCGCGAAATAGTCCGGGGTGGGCAGCCCCTTGGGCACCGCGCGCGCGCGCTCCGCGGTCGCACCGCCGCAGCCGTCGGCGCCGCCGCGCTCGCGGGGATGGGTGCAGGCGACGAGCTGCCCTGCGGAGAACTTGCTCGGAATTCATTCGATCCTCGCGCGGGCCTCCATCGCCGCGCCGGAGGCCGCGGCCCAGCTGCTGCCGGAGGGGCGCGCACTTCCAGAACAGCCGATTAGAAAATTATGATCCTGGATGCTCACGAAAGACAGCCGCCCAGCAAGTCTCGCAACAGCACCCGAAAATTTCGACGACTAGGATATTGCCGCTGTTCAGCGGGCCGCCAGGGAGGTCAGGGGCTTCGCGAGAGATATTCAGCATTCAGAGAAGCGGTGGAACAGACCGAGCGGGTCGAAACTGTCGCCCGCGCCCGCGGCTTTGAATGGTGGCGCAAGCAGCTCTGCGAGGCCACGTGCTCCGCCTGATCAGCCGTCGGCGATGTTCAGCCGGCCGCTGAAGAGGTTGAATACTTTGCGAGAGGCATTGAGCATTCAAAATAATGGCGGCGCAGGTGGAGCGGGTCGAAGATGACGCTCGCACCTACGCCTCTGAAAGGTGGCACAAGAAGCTCTACGAGGCCGCATCATTCGCGCGGTCGGCGGTCGGCCGTCGGCGATGTTCAGCGGGGCGCCGAAGTGGTTGAAGCCTCCACGAAATAGAATAAACATTCAGCATACTGGTAGAGCAGATCGAGCGAGCC